TGCATCCCTCCTCTTCCCCATGATTGTTTTATTAGTGAATATTCTAAATTAGGGTTTATAATATAAAAAACACAGTGATGTCCATGACTAATAAGATATTTGTACCTGTGTGACTTTGTACATTAAAATTAAGGAAAGAACATCCTTCCTCCTTTCATGGCCCCACTAAAGAACCTTAACAAAGTAGATTTTGCTATAGGGCTGCTTCTTTTTTGCACGTTTATCTGTACTTATCCAACACCTTGAGGAAACAGACTTCCCTGTTGTAGTTCAAGGCCAGCAGGAGATAACCACCTTCCTAATTTTATTTCTTTCTTTTACAAACATTGCAGATAGCCTTTAGCACCGAATTCTTGAAAGCAAGTGAGAGCTATTTTTCACTCTTGCTGAAATATTAAGCTCACACCTTCCCTTTCTTGTTGCAGGGGAAATGGCCACTCAAATGGATTTTTCAGAGGTTATGGTACACAAAAGTATAGGGGATGAGTGACTCACACACATTTCATCTTGGGTGGTTTAGCTCTAGACTGAGTAGCTACATACAGATGCAGTAGAGGACTTGACATCTTCACCATTTAGTAGGCTGATTGTGAGATGGAAGCCATAAAAATGTGAAAAATAAAACAAATAGTAGGAATTCAGAGGAGTTTCTGAGTGCTTTTAATGTCTCAATCTCTTACTAGCATATAAACTTAACTTTGGGGCATGTTTGCGGTATGGTGATGTAAAATAGCACCCCTATCAACACTGACAGGCAAGCTACTATATATAAACAGAGAGCAAACCCCACTCCCTTATAGCACTAAAGATGGATGAAATGCTACCGGTTCACCTGAACCGATAGTAAAAAAAAATGCTACCGGTTCGGGCAAACTGGTTTTTCCAATGATCAGTTGTGACACGCAATTTATATTAGCTAGAAAGCAGGATTTTCTGTTTTCTAGCTAATCTAAATCGCATGGCACAGAGGATTCCACCCCCCCTCGCTCTTCGCTTACCTTTGCAGGAGTGTGCGGTAGCAGGCTCCGCCCTCCCATCATCACATCCATTTTTGATGCTCTATGCATGCGTGGAAGGTCCACACACACGCTCACATTGCTACCAAACTAGGAGCAAAGGTAAGCGGATTTCAGCCCTGACTAAAGATATTACCTAGTCAGGTAACAAAATGTTTGCTAGTAACTAAGCTCAGAGAACACTCCAGAATTATCTCTTTCTTGCACTTACTGAAAGGGAACGATCACACTGAATCTTAAATGATTTCAAACAACATAGCATAATGGTTAAGGTGTGTGAAACTAGGCTGAAGTTGGCACAACCTAAATATGAGGCAAGCATGTAAGCAGTGATCAGACAAAGCCAGGAATCTTGTCTAAAAGATCCCTTGCTGGTCGTAGATAAGAAGAAAAGAAATTAAGAAACAAAGGAAAAATATCTCCTGAACCAGACAAAGGACGCTGAATCTGAACACATGGAAAACCCTCATCCCAGCTAATGATAAAGAGATTATGTTAAAGAAGATCTGAAACTCATTTACTCCTTGAGTCTTTTTTCCCCTTTGGATCCAACTTACCCTAGGGATAGGCATATTATTTATTATATATTATTTGTGTGGTACTTACTGAGCTGTTCTATCTAAGGACCAATCTACTAACCCACCTACCTATCTACCTTCCTTTCTTCCTGCTTTGAACTCCAGAAAGAATAAAAATTAGCATTACTCTTATTTTATTTAATAGATAAAGGGATTCTTCAGTAGAGCCCCATTCCTGTGTCCATTTTGAGGATATTATTATTCTGGAGTAAATCCTTTCCCTAAAGGAGCTAACCGTGATGAAATTGATTTGCAAAATAAGCAATGGTTTTAAAAATCTAAAAATATTTTGTTAGAGAAATGTAAGGCAGAGGCTGTGTGAGAAATGCTAACAGCAAGAATAAATGGATTATAATTTCTGGCAAGAAGATTGGTATTTTTTTCCTACACCATCCACACTTTTAGCAGCATAGATTTTTTTTTATTAAAAAAAAGAGGTTTGTCTGAAATGCAGTGGTTATCATGAGAATTTAATTTGCATAGCCTAGATTTAAAACCATTACTGCAGGAGAGAAAAATATTTCCAACAATATCCAGAAAGACAGGATAGAACAGCTTCTGAAATCTCTCCCCTCCCCCCCCAATATTAGAACAGCAACATTATCTTCCAGAGGAAAAATTACCAGTGTTATAAAATTGCAAGGTGGGAAGGCAAGCCTTAATTAGGATATTTGCAAGGGAGGGGTGCAAATACAAGTTTCTGCATAGATAAGCTTTTTTGGGGTGCGGGGATTGAGAGATCACATGTATATGGAAGGAAGGAAGGAAGGAAGGAAGGAAGGAAGGAAGGAAGGAAGGAAGGAAGGACAGACAGATACAGTACATGTGTGTACAAAAAAGAATAGAGACCAAAAATATATAAACAGTTAATCATGGATCCCCTAATAATAGCTGGGTTTTTATAAAGCTTACAACACTTGTAACCCATTTGGATATTTATTTTGGTCACGCTTTGCAGGGTATATGGGAAAGATTATAATTTGTGTAGGCAGTAATTACAGACAGTCCTCTGTATTTTTTATATTATCAGATTATATTCCAAGAGGCTGATCACCAGTCCATTTGATTGTAAGTCCAACCAGTACAGTTCTTACCTTATATAAATGGCACATGTCTAATTCCAGACGTACTATAATTCACAGACACTATACAAAAGAAAAATATTGCAAAATTAACATAATGAGATCAAAATAAACATAAATAGACAGGACTGGATAATGTCCAAAATGGTGTGCTATCAGCCTCCCAATGTGTGACAGTGCTGCCAAATATACATTTGCAGTGTGTGAGAAGTAAGAATTATCCCTGTAAAAGATACAGCAGTGGTAACACCATGTTTAGCCCCCAGGTGACCTAAGACACTTTACTGGAATATTAAGTAAGACATTATGTAAGAATGTTCTCTGTAGTTGCAATAACACGTTTGTTTCACACAACCTGGTTAAGAATACATGGCAGGTTAGGCTGTCTGTAGTCATGCTAAAAGTAACAATGCTGACTATAGTGGCAGCTGCCAAACAGGATGGAGAATACATCAAATGTGATGGAGATTACTGGGAATAAGTAAAACAGATGGAAGTTATGGGAAGAGGACCCTTACATAACCAGAATTTAGCCAGTATGATGAGTGGGCAGTAACAAGGCCGAGCTTCTGAAAATGTATATAACTATCATGTATTTCTATGGAAGGTGTCCTCCTTGGCTCCACCATATGAGCACGGGGATCCCTTTTGCAAACGATAATAAATGGCTCTTTATTATTGTTCAGCTGTCTCTTGGTAATTTCACACCAAAAGGATTATTCCCTAGGGGTTATTCTCACACAGTGTTCCATAAACTAACCCTTTCCAACCTTCTGAGACTGTCTAGGTTGGAGTTGTGGACAGGTTTGTTAGTACCAGCAGAGGTTTGTAAGGCAAAAGTTTGTAAGAAGAGGACTATCTGTGGGGCCTGTGAAATTGAAGAATGTACATCAGAACACCTCGTGGATTACTTTGGCACGTGATATTGTGGCGCTCGGGTTCATAAACTCAAGAGGAATTTTGAATATGGCTTTGGAGCCTTTCTCGTGAGTGGCTTTGTGCGAACCTTCACAGTGTGCGATTCAAAATACCTACAGCTGGCACGGCCATTTCCTTTGTCTCACAAGCATGCAAGGATCCGCCTCCAACTGTCCCCGTGGAGAGCTTGGGATGCTATAGAAAAAAGTGCTGAGGAAGAAAAGGCCTATTGCTGGATTATATGAATGCTTTTGCAGCAAAAGAGCCCTGACCTCTGTAGTAAATTCAGCATCTTAATGTGTTCAATCCAGAGATGGTATTCTGCCGGTTCGCCCCAATTTGGGCGAACCGGTAGTGGTGGCAGCAGGAGGCTCCACCCACCCACCCAGACGTCATCATGGATGCTCTGCACATGCACAGAAGTGCAGCGCACACTCCTGGATCTGAACCGGAAGCGAAGATGATAGCATTTTATGCGTGGTTCAATCCACTCATTGAGAGTTGAGGAGAGGAATAACGGATGCATTCCTATACAAGCCAGATGGCCCCAGTGATTATTAAAAGTATGTTGGCAGCAAAGCAATAATAATAATAATAACAACAACAACAACAATAATAATAATAATAAAATTACCATAAAATGAGTGTACAAACTTGATGGAAATCACATTGCAAACAGATATGCCCTTATAAAGAGGGTATTTGTTGCTTTATAAGAGGAGAGTGGGTTTGATTCTCCACTATTTACTCTTCATTTTCTCCTCTATCCTTAGGTTCAACTAATCCACTATAACCATGAGTTATATACAAATGTCACAGAAGCTGCAAAAAGTCCCAATGGCTTGGTGGTAGTTTCTATATTTATGAAAGTAAGTATAGTAAAATTTCATAAATGTTTAATTACATTCTGCTGGGGGATTTTAAGAAATTAAGAGGGTTGGTGCATAAATCCAGGAAGTCTTAACTGCAGCCCTTTTCTACTTGGTACCCCAGATGTGTTGATATTACAATTTCCAGGCTCCCCCATCCAGCAAAGGAATGGTCATTCTGTGGACTATTTACAGGATGGGGAAGACAACTTTGAAAATTTCCTGCATTTAAAAACTGGTTCTTTGGGGATAACACAGTCATGCTTTAGGATGAAAAGCAATTATATCACTTTGGGGAGAGACACAAACATTACACAAATCCATTTCCGTCTATCTGCAAATAATGCAGTAATATTTTATATTGCTGTAATTGTGTTATTAATAATAATGCTTTTAGGCAGATGCTCAGAAAACATCACATATCTTTTGGGGGGCTTTTTTCTTATCCCATTCTTGTGCTTTTGGGTAGGGGCGGGCTGTTGGGCGTTCGCAGGGGTTTGGGAGAACCTCTAGCTAAGATTTTGTGCAGTTCAGAGAATCCCCAAATCCCACTCCTAGCTGGCCCTGTCCACCCTGCCCCTCCCAGGAGTCCCCATGCAGCCCATTTTTGATGCAGGTAAGTGCAGGCAAAATACAGGCCTAATGAAAGTTCAGGTGGGCCTCCGGAGCCTGGGGAGGCCATTTTTGCCCTCCTGGAGGCTCAAAGAAAGCCTCCGGAGGCCAGGGAGGGCAAAAATACTACCCCCACCCCACCACTGTGGTGCAGGAGGCTGACTAGGCCACGCTCACCCAGCAACTGGGCAGAGAGCCCCTTGCTAAAAGTTTTGAAGCCCACCCCTGCTTTTGGGTTTCTTCCCACCATAAATATTTCTAGGATAGACTGTACTTAGTTCGTTTTTTGCACAAAGAAGAGAGGGATTACTTCCCAGTGAGCTATCCAATAGTCCCTGTACTAAATGGTTTACATACATTGAAGTAAAGGCAGAAATAACATTCGGAAAGAATTTCTTTATGCATGTTCTTTTCTGGGAAACAGGATTTGTAGACTTGCGGTCTCATTCACTTGGCACTACAGAAATGCTCAGGGATAGTCAGAACTGTCAGAGGACATGAAGGGAGAAGTGGAGGCAGAACTTCAACCTAAAGAACTGATGGAGTCCAATACTAGCAATCCTCCGAATAGGTTGCCCAGCATATAGAGGGCTATCTCATATTTCCTAAATCAATGTTGTGCAGGTGACAATATGTCACCTATTATATTATTTAATAGAGGTGAATCTCAGAACAATCTCCTTCAAGAAGGCCTGTCACTCACTCCACCCCAATGAAGAAAAGTTGGAGCTAATCTATATTATCAACAGTTGCTTCTGTACATGTGTGAGAGACACACAGTCAAACGACACAGTTTCTCCACTCCACTCCAGGAGGAGCTTCAAATGAGACTTTTGTGCAAATTTTCATTCAAGTGTTACACCCTTCAAAGATTTGGTACAACCCTAAATTTTTGTAGCAGGCATGAATCTGGACACCTTGTTCCATGCAAAGAGCTTAATCTTTTCTCGCTGACTGCATTTTTCACTAACTGGCCATTTTGCTTCTGGTGTGCGATCTTAGAATGGTATTGCTAAAACCAGCCAAAGGAGAGGCATGGGGAGAGGTACATTATAAAAGTGACAGGTAGAAGAAAATCTAAGCTGATTCTCCCCTGAGCTGCTGCCATTTTGATCTATTACAGGCAGTTAAAATTTCAGACTTAATACAGTAATGGAACTAAAAAGTAGTTCGGCTTTCACATTGCAGCAGTTAGCTGATGTTTTTTTTTTTTAATGTAACTAGGGAGAGAATAGAATTCTACACAGGCTTTAGACTTTCCTTGCATGGTGGGAACAAAGATAGCCCATTTGGCTGAAGGTGGTTGTTGCGTTTTGTATGATCATAAATCCTCATTGTACAGGAGGAACACTGGTTGCTATAACCACTGAACTATGTTCCTTATTTAAGGCTGGGGATGACAAGGGTGGCCTACATGTCTCCATGCTCCAACCTTGATTATACTTTTTAACGTATTGGATGGGGTTAAAAGTGCAGAACACATTTTTTTCTTCAACCGGCACTTAAAAGGGTCATGTACTATATGTCCAAGTGATGATCTGATATGCCCAGGATAGGCAGAACACACACACACACACACACACACACACACACAAAGCCAAATCTGTATTTGCCCTTTTTCTTGAATATCTCAGGAGGATGTTTCTTCGCTTTGCAAAAACTTTGTATCACAATAAGTAAATGCCCCTGGTTTACAAGAGAAATTAATCCAATAATAAGATCTCTTCTTTTCATATTGTAGAATGCTTAAGAGTTTATTGAGCCGTGGTGGTGCAGTGGTTAGAGTGGAGTACTGCAGACTATTTATGCTGACTGCTGGCTGCCTGCAATTTGGCAGTTCAAATCTCACCAGGCTCAAGGTTGACTCAGCCTTCCATCCTTCCAAGGTCGGTAAAATGAGGACCCAGATTGTTGGGGGCAATAGGCTGACTCTGTAAACCACTTAGAGAGAGCTATAAAGTGGTATATAAGTCTTATTGCTATTTCAATCCCCACCACCACCATATCCTGCTTTTCAGATAATAAAAGTAAAGAGGGGGGAAAAGGAATAGAGAAAAAACAATGTAAGTGGGCATTGCATTCTGAAGACTTCCTTGGTGCATTATTCCCAGAATACATCTTGTATTTTGTTGTCATGCAGTCCAAGCTCAAGAGTCAACCTGACAAGTGCAGGCTAATTAATTCATGGTCAGGTTCCACTCTGTAACCTTCACACTGTTTTGCCTTGAACTATCACCAACATATATGAATGTAACCAAGTCTTGTTCTAAATGAAGGCAGAGAGCAGAGGACAAAATATTTCAAAATGTTGCAGAAGAAACCACAAAAAAGCAGGCTCACACCAGATTCACGCCTAAGCTCAAAGCAAGAGGACAAGGACTTAATTACTTTTCTTGAGTAGTATTTTAAGGTCATGTTGATCTTTTCTGCATATTGGATGTAGGAGAATTGCTGCTCTTGACTGGAGTGCAGGTTGATGCCCAGACCTCCTTCTCCTTATTAAATGCTCCAGCTAAACATGGTTTTGAATCCTCAGTTTATCCCACTATAACTGCAGCATAGATGAAAATGCAGTATGCTGTGATTTGAGGCAGAAAGTGATATGTCAAGCTGTGGTGATCACCAGAACAGATCAGGTTTTGCTCTGGATTTTTGCCTAAGTGTGTCTAGAGTATACTAGCCCACTCTATCTCTTTTCCCCAAAAAACTGAAGCCAAAAATTGTGGTGGTTCGTGACCACTCTTGTCTAAATGGATTGAAAGGCATCCTTCATCTCCAGCGTAACCATGTCAGATTGTTCCTGTTTTCCAACATTATTAGTTAAATGTTTAGTTAAAACCAAAAACTAGGATGGCAAGAAGCGGATGCAACTCATGTTCAGAGTATTCAGAATACAGCTGCCTTTCCTTTCTGTTTCCTATTTTCCAATCCTGTACTAATGAAAAGTTGAACTCTACATTATTCATTTCATCTGATTGCAGAATATCCACATTTTTGCTTATGCTGTAGTTGTCCCTTGATTCTCTTCCTCCTACCCCCCCACCCCCATCCTGATAACGTTTTCCAAAAATAAGAGGTTCTTGGTTATTACTTTTGTTTTGACAATGAATTCTTTCCACCGCAGGTTTCTGAATCATCAAATCCATTTTTAAATCGTATGCTTAACAGAGACACCATAACAAGAATAACGTATAAAAGTAAGTTTATTTTTGACTCCACATCAGTGAATAATGGGACAATCTTCCAATATGTATATTTCAGATTGAAAGGAATTTCAAAAGCGAAAGATGATAAAAGCATCTCTCAGAATTGCTGTATATGCTTTATTCTATGAGGCAATTAATCACAGAGTTTTTAACAAGAGAAATTCAAGGACCTTCCAGTTGTTTTGTGGTAGTGGAGTGGAATTAATGAAACACATATTTTTTCTTAAATATCTGAATATTTATAAGAATTTTCTGTGTAAGCATTAGGCAGCAGTAATAGTTAAAACATGATTAAAGCATAGTAAAATATGCCATAATGAAAAAATAATCGCTGAGGTATTTTTAAAAATCTGTGAGATACATAAAGTACAAGTAATCCATTTATTCAGTTCTTATTTAGGCTATAACTTGTGGCAAACTTATAATTGCTCTGAGTGTTTTCAACCATTCTGTATTATACAGTTCATGTAAACGGAGATGCCAAATGCAACTGCTGACATTTCCTGAGATGTAAATGTCACCATTATCCTTTGTCAGTCAGGACCACGGACTCCTGCGTTCCATGTTCCGTTAGCTGCATAAATTCCTTCTTCTACTGGGGTTTCCTAGCTATAGTTCATTGTAATTGCCAAATTGGCAATTTATGGCTGTTGTTTTTCCTTGTGCCATTATTTCATATCAACTTTGTAGGATATTGGAATTGAGCTCATTCCTTCTTCGGCCATGGTTTCTAGTTTAGTTTATCCTTAGTTCAAGTTGGAGCTATTGACCAAGATACAGAGAGAGAGGGAAACCTATTTGCCTCTGGTTGTGAGGCAGGGGCTTCTCTTACAGATCTTATACAGAGGGGCAGAAAGAGTTGTATCTTCCTATAATACACAACTGACAAATTACCTGCTAGGTGGTGTTGTGGAATTTAATATCGGGACTAAATAAAAACATGTAAAATCAGTCCATGGTTAAATAGTACAAATAGTACAGATGATGTTTGTCTATTGTGTTCGAAGAAGATCTTGACATCTAACAGGTTGTGGGCTGGCCACAATGTGTCAGCAGGTGACTGGTAAGGCCTATTCAGGCACGAAATGTTCCTGCCACATGTCAGGCAGACATGCATGGGCACTATTGTTGCAGCATTTGCAGCTCTGGCTTTGCAGAGTGCTCGCTTCTCTTGTGCTGTGGATGTTCTTCTGTCCTCAGATGTCTGTCAGCCTTAGTGGATCAGTATGTGCCATGCTGATCGATCTTGTGCCAGGGTTTCATATCCAGGGACTTGAAGGAGGCTTTCAACGTGTCTTTGTATTGCTTCCTTTGCACACACACACACACACACACACACACACACACACACACACACACACACACACAGACCGTGCAATGGCTTTTCCTGAGACAGCTCAACATAG